AAGACATCATTGCCAAAAATAATGGCGACTGCACACTTCCGACAAGACCAAGGGCGTGTGCCATGATTCACCATCAAACAATGATGACACTGGGTTCTCGCAAAAAGGCGGGTTCACCTCGCCCCACCAGTGGCACCTACCACAAACACATGCGAAGGCAAGCCAATTGTTCATCCTAAAAGGCACTGGACAACACAGTACATGTCAATATAGGGAATTGCATCAGGCATCATTTTGGTCATACGTAAAAGCTGGAAATGCCGTCTACACGTCAAACACAAAGTCCCGACCAGGCCCCGAATCCTTGCCCCCCCTACCCAAACAACCCCTAGTCCTGCACCGTGACTGTTGAATATATCTATTTTATGAAAAACAACAATAATCTTGATATGTATACAAAAGCAAGTCTAGCCAGCTCAAGCTAGCTCTATTCCACAGCATCGGGAAAATTATTTGTTTAATTTTAGAGTCGCGAAGGTCATTGTATAATGTAAGATTTCATAGACAGCATGCTGTTTTAAACAACATGCTGAGCACAACGCTTTGTCGAAATCCAAAGTTCTGATAATTACGTACATATTCCCATCACCTTAAGTAATCTATAATAGTTCTGGAGTAAATCGTATTTACCCGTTTACATATGAATCAACATTTATTGCCAGTTACAGGACAGGACCCCCCCCCCCCCCCCCCCACCCCCCCCTCCGCGATAAACAGAATATGTATACTTTCATAAAGTAAAATGTATGATGAGACACGCACCAAACTGTAGGGACATCAGATTTTTATATTTACACACTTACAGGTCTGGAACAATTGACGGATGCAGCATGTCACGTAGGAGGATGTAGAGTGGTCAGGGGGCTGCACGGAGTAGTTGGAATATTTGATCTTGAAGACAGATGTTTACAATGAAAAACAATAACAAAGACAATGTTGAGTGAAGATAGCTGAAAGACTCAATTAATATTAGTCCATCCTTATTGCTATAAAAACAATATTTCATATTTCTTAAGATTACCAAAATACAACACAACCCTTTGTCCGATAGAGGTAACTTTGGAGGGATCCTAAATCTGATTTTTCAGCTACAGATACAAGAGCAAGGCATGCCATAAATACGAAACCTACTGCTCCCGAAAGAAAGCCATGGGATCGCGTGTGTCAGGGGACAAGCGCCATCTGATTGATCAATAAGGGTAAAAGTTGGAAGGTGGAGCAAAAAGCATAGTTTTTTCCGTCCATTTTAAACTTATAAAACTCGACGATTTTCCGGACACTATCTAGACGCTCTCCCATTGATCAATCTTACTGAATTTTTGGTCGTTTTTCCGTCAAATGACAATATACTGAAAAAAACGTCGTTTTCGTGTTTGCAGAGCTATTTCCATGAATGTATTCTTTTGTCATGGTTCATTAAATCACACTCAGGCACTAAGCTGCTTGTTTTTTCACACTCGACTAGTGAAGTGTCTCATTGTGTCTCATTGTGTCTCATTGTGTCTCATTGTGTCTTATAGTGTATCATTGTATCTTATTGTGTCTCATTGTGTCTCATTGTGTCTCATTGTGTCTTATTGTGTCTCATTGTGTCTTAGTGTGTCTCATCATGTCTTATTGTGTCTTATTGTGTCGACTTATGTCTCAATGTGTCGCATTGTGTCTTATAGTGTTTCATTGTGTCCTATTGTGTATTATTGTGTCTCATTGTGTCTAATGTGTCTCATTGTGCCTCATTGTGTCTTATTTTGTCTCATTGTGTCACATTCTGTCTTATTGTGTCGCATTATGTCTCATTGTGTCTTATTGTGTCTTATTGTGTCTCATTGTGTCTCATTGTGTCTCATTATGTCTTATTGTGTCTGATTGTGTCTCATTGTGCCTCAGTGTGTCTCATTGTGTCCCAGTGTGTCTAATTGTGTCTTTTTGTGTCCTATTGCGCCTAATCATGTCTTATTGTGTCTCATTGTGCCTCATTGTGTCTCAGTGTGTCTCATTGTGTCTCATTGTGTCTTAGTGTGTCTCATCATGTCTTATTGTGTCGCATTGTGTCGCATTATGTCTCAATGTGTCGCATTGTGTCTTATAGTGTTTCATTGTGTCTTATTGTGTATTATTGTGTCTCATTGTGTCTTATTGTGTCTCATTGTGCCTCATTGTGTCTTATTGTGTCTCATTGCGTCTCATTCTGCCTTATTGTGTCGCATTATGTCTCATTGTGTCACATTGTGTCTTATTGTGTCTCATTGTGTCTCATTATGTCTTATTGTGTCTCATTGTGTCTTATTGTGTCTCGTTGTGCCTCATTGTGTCTCAGTGTGTCTCAGTGTGTCTTATTGTTTCTTATTGTGTCTCAGTGTGTCTCATTGTATCTCATTGTGTATCAGTGTGTCTCATTGTGCCTTATTGTGTCTCATTGTGTATCAGTGTGTCTCATTGTGCCTTATTGTGTCTCATTGTGTCTCAATGTGTCTCATTGTGTCTTATTGCTGACTGTGGAATAGAGTGCACCCACCCATCAGTTATTATACAAATATATAAATGTGGTGAACATGTTCGTTCATTTCTCTGTCCAACACACCTCCTCGTCAAACGATTCAAACACCACATTAACAGAAGGGGGTATGTAGCGGTAGAATAAGGTAGCAGTTGGTAGTGGAAAAGTCAAGTGGACAGCAGGTAGCAGTTGGTAGTGGAAAACGTCAAGTGGACAGCAGGTAGCAGTTGGTAGTGGAAAACGTCAAGTGGACAGCAGGTAGCAGTTGGTAGTGGAAAACGTCAAGTGGACAGCAGGTGGCATTTAATGATGACCTGAGTGGAGCCAAGGTATCCGATAATCAACGGCATGGGCCGAGCTCAGTGTGGCGCCGAGTACGGCCGCCTTATCACCACCACCACCACCAACAACAACAACAACATCAACAACAACAACAACAACGTCAACAATGAAGAAGCCCGCCCGACGTGTACGTGTTCAACTGACTGAACGAGTCTCTGCACTGGGAACATTTGCCACTTGATCCCAGTGTGTGTTCTGTCGCCTGCGTTTTATTAATAATTAACTTGGTATTTATATAGCGCTAGTTTCCAGACTGACTGCTCAAAAACGCTCTTGAAGCTCGCACAGTTGGTATGGTTGTATATATTTTGCTGAGCAAGTGTGTCTTCAGATGTTTTTTGAAACTGTTACGTTCACTGAGCATTCTGAGTTCTTTGGGCAGGGCGTTCCAAAGAAGAGGACCGGCCCTTGCAAAGCAGCGAACCCCGTAGGAGATTGTTCTTGATTGTGGCACTTCAAGCAACGATTGATCACAAGATCGTAGGGTTTTACAGTGTACGTTGTCGACAGCTTTATATCCTTCGACAATAGACATGGCTGCTGTCTTCTTAAACTTCTCCCACTGATCCTAGGTAGAATCGGTATACAGCAACCCACGCTTAACTCTTAAAAGAGGCGACTATCGGGAAAGGGTGGTCAGGCTCCCTGAATTGACTGAGGCATGTCATAATATCCCTGTTAAGTATATCAATGTTGATGATGTCACCCATTGGAATGCCTGGTCTGGACGATACGGACCGCCGTTATAACGCTATAAAATGAATACGGCGTTAAACAACAAACAACGCTTTGGCACACAGCCAGTGATCATGGAAATATATTCTGATAGTTCAAGATGTCACTCATTGGATGGCCTGGGCTGGACGATACGGACCGCCGTTATACATCTGTAAAATGAATGCGGCGTTAAACAACAAACAAAGCTTTGGCACACAGCCAGTGATCATGGAAATATAATCAGATAGTTCATGATGTTACTCATTGGATGGCCTGGTCTGGACGGTGCGGACCGCCGTTATACAGCTGTAAAATGAATGCGGCCTTAAAAACAAACAAAGCTTTGGCGCACAGCCAGTGATCGAGGAAATATATTCTGATAGTGCTGGTGTCAGCAAAAGGTACAACAGACGCATACAAATAAATCTTTATTCTCTTACATTTAAATATTAACATACTTTCACCTTCTTCTTGACAATATCTTCCGTTTATGTTATTTAGAAATAAGTTGTAAAAGCACAATGCAAGTATCAGTGAATAAACAGAATCAATTTCCAAACACATGCGTATGAGTATCAAACATCTCATATACATGTCCCTATTATTTAGCAAGCAGACTCTTGTGTGGCCATGCGTGTCAAATGATATTGTCCCACAGCTAGGTGTAGCAGTGAGTGTGTCTGTAGTCACCCCGCTACGTACACCTCACAAATTGTAGTTGGAGAGAACCCGTCGGATTCCGGGTAAGGCTTTAGGCAACCAGCCTATGCTTGTCGTAAGAAGCGTTACAATGGAACCGGCGACCAGGCGCGGTGACGTGGGATATCTGTCATCTATCCCAAAACGTGTAGGTCAATGTTCATGTTGTCTTGTCGAAAGCTGTTTATTGACATACCGCAGTCATGCAGCGTGAGTACTGCTGACTGTGGCGTTAAACAAGTTGGAGAGGATAGTCCGAATGTAGTACTTGGGTATTGAGTACTGGAGGAGTTGTGTCCCTTGAAGATAGCAATCGCACAGTTCATCTGGTTCAAACACCGTAATACTTCACTCGAACATATGACAGGTATTGAAAGCATATAAGCACGGCAACGTGGAAACTAACATGGGGCGGGCACCCCTAAAGAGAACTAAACAAATATGGTTGCACATAATCTTACAACAAATGGTAAAATGAGCGGTACACTGTATTCATGTCCAAGTTACATGTGTGAGTATGAATACGTCTTTAACATCGACTATTTTGATTATGATGTCATACCATATTATATATAGATTATCAGCCGAGTGTTCTTGAGTATCGTACAATAGTTTGTTTTATATTTGTATATTCCTATTGTGTGGTATTTATTATGTTGCAGGTATTAAATCATTGAAGAGGATAATACAGTTGTTGGTCACACAATTCTTACCATGAACTGATGAACTGATAAATATATGAATAATTCATATCAGTTCATGTTTATTAATGTGTGACCAACCACTTACAAAATAATTTATAAACGTGTACCCTTCTCAAAATACTGACTCCCGTTGTTCGAAAGTAACGTACAAATATGAAAATAATGCTCAAGATATAATTGATCAGTTTCTGTCAGTATTTCCTTAACTCAACGTATTTTATGACAGCGGTGAATCCATAGTCTTCCTGTTAAGACGGAATAAATAAAAACAATTGACGACTGCCAGTTATAAGCCTTATAAAACACCGTAAGGTTTGGGATGTGCGATACAGATTAACACTGACTCCCATGGTGTGGTAAGTTTCTACATTCTGGTACACAGGCATGTGTGTTTGTATCTGATTGTATGCTGCTCATTAAACCTTTACTGGGACATTTCCCTCTTCCAATGACGTCTCTTTAATGTTAATAATGCTTCCTAGCTTTATAGTTCAGTAAATTTGTATTGCATGCACACGTTGAAGAGGAACTATGCTCCACACTGTGATATCTGTTTCCAATCTTGTTTCTCGCTCCAGATGCTGTATTATATGTATTAACAACACAACAGACAAAGGTATTACTATAACGGACAGATTGTATGAATGGTGTCTGAGCGTATAGAATTAATGTCCCTGCCAAATATCCAGAACAGAAGCCCTTTCAGAATGGTTACTAATGATACCACTGCGGACTACTATGTGTTTTGTATACATTTCAGACACAGAATGACCTCGGTGATCCTGTGCATCACGTTCACGGTAGTTGCTATAAAAGGTGAAGTGATGAATTACATTATCTCAAATAGTCCCATCTTGAATGTATATCTGTATTAATATGATCTCTGCCCTGCTGCCTTCTGTGTGCGACTGGACACATTCTTTGTCAAATGTTTACCGCCGTATCATAGCGAATATAGTTTGTCGAGATTAAAAAAATTCTGATATCCACTGTTAATGTATATGAAACCAACATTATGATAACTAGCATGAAGATGACAGCACATTTAGGAAAGGGTTTTGCCGTCTTTATTTCCTCAATGTGTGCATCGTGTCACAAAATATGATGACTGTCAATGTCAACATTTCCAGCTTCTCCATGCAAAGACAACCAGCATTGTTCAGACTGCGACATCACGACGGGACATTGCCTCACTGAGTGTGACATTGGGTATTTTGATCTGAAATGTTTGTCAGTTTGTGACGGATATTGTAAATATAACCTGTGTAGTCAGTCAGACGACGGTGGTGGACGTTGTACCGAGGGATGTGTCCCAGGATATCAAGGCAGGAGATGCAACATACCATGTGACAGTCCAGGAGGTAACTGTACAGCATGTCCAGGTGGTTGTGATGGAGGATATTGTCAGCTGGGCTCCTTCTGTGTGTCTGGATGTGAGGACTCCTACTACGGGTCTGGTTGTTACAACACATGCAACACAAATTGTCGTCCTAACCCTTTTACCTTGGATGAACAGTCTTCAATGGTTACTAAAAGTGACTGTAATAAGATGAGTGGAGACTGTATCTATGGATGTAAAGAAGGCTGGTATGGTCCACGATGCTCCTCCCAGTGTAAGTGTAACGCCGGTAGCTAGTTGAATGATAAGGCGATGAATGAACTCGAACGAGTGGCAGTGTCTGGTGATCAACATTCATAGAAAACTTATGTAAAGTAAATTATGTTGAGACAAAGGAATTATGGCATCGTTTTGTTGAGAAAGTTGTGTGATAGAAGTGTAATGTGAATGTACAGTTTCCTTTGAAGAAAGGGGATTGTTAAACAGTTAGAAGGAAACTATCTCATTTTGAAATTATAATGATGTTATCATATACCTGATAACTTCAAATGTAACAGCCTCAAATGATGATTGATTAAGATTCAAGTGTTTGAGATTTCCAACATCATCAGCTGTGTCATCAGGGTGGTTAGTAAGTGTAATATTCAGTGGTATGGGGGTATATGTGATTATCGTTGGAATCGTCAATGGTATCATCAGTCTAATATTCAGTGGTATCTAAGATGTATTATCAATGGTTTCATCAGTGATTTCATCAGTGGTTTCATCAGTGATTTCATCAGTGGTTTCATCCGTGGTTTCACCAGTGGTATCGTCAGTGATTTCATCAGTGGTTTCATCAGCGGTTTTATCAGTGGTATCGTCAGTGGTTTCCTCAGTGGTTTCATCCGTGGTTTTACCAGTGGTATCGTCAGTGATTTCATCAGTGGTATCGTCAGTGATTTCATCAGTGGTATCGTCAGTGATTTCATCAGTGGTTTCATCAGCGGTTTTATCAGTGGTATCGTCAGTGGTTTCCTCTGTGGTTTCGTCCGTGGTTTTACCAGTGGTATCGTCAGTGATTTCATCAGTGGTATCGTCAGTGATTTCATAAGTGGTTTCATCAGTGGTTTCATCAGTGGTTTCATCAGTGGTATCGTCAAAGGTTTAAGCAGTGGTTTCATCAGCGGTTTCATCAGTGGTATCGTCAAAGGTTTAAGCAGTGGTTTCATCAGCGGTTTCATCAGTGGTTTCATCAGTGGTAGCGTCACTTGTTTCATCAGCGTTTTCATCAGTGGTATCGTCATTTGTTTCATCACTGGTTTAATCAGAGGTATCATCAGTGGTTTCATAGGTGGTTTCATCAGTGATTCCATCAGTGTAATATTCAGTTGTATCACTATATGTATCATCAGTGGTTTCATCAGTGGTATATTCGGTAGTTTAAGGGGCATCGTACCTGCCTATAGTTCGGATAGTCAAAACAGAAGAATAAATTATATTTGTTATGTAAGTCAGAGTCAATATGATTTATTAGATTTCACAGAATTAAACATTCCAACTATAGCATTGGAAAAAAGTATTTGAGGTGAACAGTTCCTTTAACCAATATGAAAGAATGTGTGTAAGAGTGAAAGGTCGGCTGCCATTTACCTTATTTAAAATGCAGCAAATCGTTTGCAATGAAACATGTCACATTATTTTAAATCCTCATTGCCCATATTTATTTGGCAGATAGTAAAGCGGAAATACTGTATGCTGTGAAAGTAGGACTACCGACAACAGCATTGCTTGTAGTCTTCCTAGCTGTGTGCTGCCGGTTCTGCAAATGCGGTCGATGTCAATGGTAAGACTTGTTACTGGAGGACCTGGTAGATCCAGCCTCACAAAACCCAAGTACAATAGATATTCCAAATTGGAGATGAGTGAGTGAGTGGGTATGGTTTTACGCCGCTTTTAGCAATATTCCAGCAATATCACGGCAGGGGACACCAGAAATGGGCTTCACACATTGTACCCATGTCGGGAATCGAACCCGGGTCTTCGGCGTGACGAGTGAACGCTTTAACCACTAGGCTCCCCGACCGCCCCCAAATCGGAGATAAGTCAATGGTAAACTTGTAAATGTAGATGTCCTATGTTGGTGTGCGTTTCCTTAATCAAACAGTATGAACTGCCACGTTTCCCTGATTTCACAGTTGCAGTCAAGCAGAAACTGCTCGGGGCAACAGAGAGGATGCCTATTCTTTGGACTACCTGGACTCAGATTGGTCCTGCGAAATAGAACAGGAAGATGCGGTCATGGACCATGAGGGAACATGTATGACCCAAGGCGATGGGAAGGGATGTAAGCTGTACGATGAAACCTACAGTTCACCTGAAGCAAGTGGCATGTCAGATAGACGTGAGGTGTGTGATGTAGGATACAGTTCACCTGAAGCAACTGGCATGTCAGATAGACGTGAGGTGTGTGATGTAGGATACAGTTCACCTGTTCATGTTTATGATGCCAGAACTGCTGTGAACTACATTTCCCCAGTTCAGGACAGACGCTAGTCGTCTTTTAATAGTAAACGTTTGTTTCATTTTAACATACACATGCCAGGTAGTGTTTAAATTTCTCAAGCGGAAAATAAAATGCCATTCGCAGATTGCATTATTTTGTTTGCTTTCTTTATTGGTTGAATGGAGTGAAATCAGTTTAACACCACTTTGAACAGTAGTTAAGTCATATCACGACACGCTACCTACGGTTGGAGGAGTGAGTGAGTTGGGTTTACCGCCTACTTTTACAGTATTCCAGTTATATCGCGGCGTGTCAGCTTAATGTGGGAGGAAAGCCCGAAGTGATACAAGTCTCAGACGTTTACGACTTTGGCGAAACCAACGAGCACGGATACATAATCCGGGCGAACAAGGATTCGAACCCACAATCACAGGTTTCTGGCGTGCCAAAGGGACTCAACCCTGCACAGCGAATTGTTGCACCTTAGACGACTGGGCAACCCGTGCCCCCTACAGTGGGAGGAAGACCTGTAGTGAGGTCAGTAAAACTAAAGAGCGTGGGAGAAGCGTTGAAAGGACAATCACCATAATTGGAAATAATCGTCTTCCAAACTATACACTTCTAACTGTAGGGGATAATGAAAATACGAAGTATTGAGACAAAGATAGTGTAGTCTGTAAAACTAACAACTACATAAAATATTACTTGAAACTAATATTGCTAACAATCTGGAAATATTGAAATATTTCCGAGTATCCCACACTTTTTGTAAGGGTATATAATCAAGGGACAAGACAATGCCTGTGGGTGCAAATTGAAATGTCATGCTTATAGAGTAACACTGCATTATCTTTGATTAATGTTATACAGCTCGTGGAAATGAAAACTATTTGTACAAGCGATGGTTATATTTCTTTCTTTTTTTTTGTTTCCTCCTTGTCGGTGTGAAGGTTGTGACGTTGAGGAAACTGCAACACATTCTTCAGAAGTTTCACTTCGATTGTTTAACACAGCTAGTCTACGTTCTGTCTTCAGTGAATAATTACTTTGTGTATATGTCATGTATTTGTATTATGTCACTTAACTATACTGACCTGGTGTCACAAGAAAACAAACAATTCCAGTGGCACCAGCGCACATTGGTGCAATGTGCAATGTGCTGTCACGTTTCGCTGTGCAGAGTTGCGTCAGGCACCTATGATTGTGGGTTCGAATCCCAGTTCGCCCCGATTATGTTTCTAGGTTTGTCAGCACCATACCTGTGCTCGTGGGTTTCACCGAAGTGGTAAACATCTGAGACCTGCATCATTTCGGGCTTCCTTCCACATTAAGCTGACACACCGCGATATGACTGTAATACTGTTAAAGGCGGCGTTAAACCCAACTCACTTACTCACTCACGCATGTTAACGCATGTTACCGCATGTTAACGCAACCATAATTGTGATATGTTGGCTGTTACGGGTTGCAATACAGTTTAAAACATTCACGTCACATCTGTTCAGTGAACTCATATGTTATATGTTAAACCTTCACGTGGTGTCTTCCTACAGTCTGTGAGACAACAGTGTCTTATACACCTGTGGCTGAGAAACCCATTTGAGATAACTGGTATCAAACATGTTTGATTGGCCCGTGATTGGCTACTCCATGAAGATGAGGTCAGAGTATGACGTACTACTTTCCTGAGTTGAAGTGATGTGTTTTGTTGTGACTTGCAAGTTTTATGTTTCTTTAAAAGTGATGGGTTTGAATTTGTGTAATCTCAAAGAAGAGATTATCCCAATCCCAATTCTGCCGAAACGGTTGGTTTTTAACCGTGTCTCACACGACAAAGGTTCTATATATGCTGTAACTTTTCAAAGGAAAGGTGTCGTTCAATTTGTCGAAAATGAAAACAAACTATTGTTAATCATCTGAACTTTATTAAAAAAACAAAACAAAACATGAGAGAGATTCTGGACTGCCTCAGAGATACCGCCTATGTACAATAGGATAGGATATTTAGGTAGGAACATGTCTTCCCGAGGCAAGAGAGGTCATTGACAATTAAAGTCCAGTTTCCAACCTTGCCGAACTAGGCTGGAATTTCTGGGCTCAATCGGAGCGCCACCAGTGGCTATTACGAGTTATGTCCCTTCCATGCCTCTTCTATGGACCAATCAGATTTCACCTCTCGTATCACTTGCATTTGCTTCAAACAAAATGGCGGCGCCGATCAAGACGATCTGATCGATAATCAAAAGCTATATTGTGATAAAACGGGTCTTACATCGCGAGGTGCATCAAGTCATGTGAGTACCTTGACTAAAAACATGAAAGCATTTGGAAAATATCTTTTGACAACGAGTTGGCGGTGCACATGTTTTGCAAATCCTGCAATCGACAGAAATCTGCATGACAGTTTACGAACTGGGTTTCGATATCGAGGCGCAATTGTGATTGTACTATGCATAGTGTAACTCCACAATACCAGCCTAATTCGACAAGGGTGGAAACTGAACTTTTATAGTCAGTTAACTAACTTGCCACGGGAAGATGGCAGGAACTAAACTTCTCAATGGGCACCAATTGTGATCCCTCATTGTCCAGTAGTTTTTATGTTCACAGCTATCCTGCCCTTAGCGCCGAATGGAAACTGTTCGTATATAATCAAGACTGGTCATTCTAGTCACGTTATACTTTATACATGCGACTCATTAGTTAATAATCAGGCACACACGCTATTTCCTATTTTGACAAGAACAATATGTTACCATGTTTGTTAAAGTGGATGAGTGACTTGCCTTTGCAAGTGTTTGGGACGGGTGTTGCCTGTGTGTCAGGTCGCTTACATTTTAAGTGAACACAAAGTATCATCACTATTTGACAATGATTCATACAGATAACATTTGTCACAGTGAGAACACAACAATGGACATACAGATAACATTTGTCACAGTGAGAACACAACAATGGACATAAAGAAAGGATTCACTTGTATTTACTTTGACGACACACGTCGAACGCCTCATCCAATCGTTTTAGTTAAACATTTAATTTATTTCTAAACTTCCTTATGTCACAACAAGCGTGATTACGTTTCCCACAAAAAAACTAAGAGCAGAGACTGCGTGATCTGTCCTTGTGTTTCGTGTGTTGATTCTCCGCTGGGTGTCATTTTCCTTATTCCAAAAGGCTTTTATCCTCTTTGGATAAACTTTAAAGCAAAATTATCACATAGTGAAACAAGGGGCATGTGCATGATCTATGAATAAGTTTAAATATCGCAAGGAACACAAGATAGCATACATTATGTGAAAGTGTAAACTGTGAAAACGTTCGGGAGAGTGAATGGTGAATTTTAACCTTTAGTATAATAAGGCCTAGACAGTATCAAAGCCTGTGAATGTTCAATATTTTCTTTGTGACTGTCGATAATCTGTTGTTTTGGAATGAACAACTTAAGACAATTGATTTATACAAAATACACAGAAATCTAAATCAAATTCATCGTAACTACGCATTAACATGCATGATGCATGTCGTTGTTGTTTCAAGCGATACTATCTGACAATTATATTCACTCACTCACTCATTCACTCACTCACTCACTCACTCACTCAACCAGCCAAAACCCAACCAACCACCCACCCACCCGTCCACTCACTCACTCACTTACTCACTATGGCTCGACCTCAAGCAAATGTAGAGAGTGTCAACCATAACATTAACAGCCAACATATAATTTATCAAGTCATTATACGTTGGGGATACTCATGTAACTAGACTCAATAAAACTGGTTACTAAATTAACAAAGTAAAGGCATAAGCTTACATCTAAATTGTATACATTTGCGTATTTGACTATCTCTATTTTACATTTACAGAAAAATTATCGTGAACATTGAAACACATGTTAAAAAATAAATATTTATGTAAATACGTCTCAAGTAACCTACAATTTTAGAGCCTCTTTTTTGGGCAGCATTTACAACACTACAGTGATAAGGAACACTTGGGGCTGCACCCTCATGATTTATTCTCCCTGCAGTGTTTTATTGTGAAGGTAATGGGCAAAAGATAATTTGAAAATTGTGCGGGCAAATCTGGAGATTGCCCCCTCAAACTCTCCACCTAAACCATGTACCTCCCCTACCCAACCAGCCACCTTGCTAATTCATTTCCCTACTCGATCCCGCACTCCTTCAAGTCAACCACGAGCCTCCTCACCGCCACCCCGACCACTTAATACTGGACCCCACCCAACCACCCCACCCCCCCTCTCAACCCTGCAACTTCCCCACACACAATCACCTCCCCCACTCAAGCATTCACCTCACTTCCCTCGCAACCCCTCCACCCTTACATCAACACGGATACACGAGTCTTTACATTTAAGCGTATTCCCTTTGAATACAGCGTGTGCATCGCCTACTGTGTGTAGGGGCCACGGCGAGGTTTAAGCAGGAAACGAAACCCGTTACTGTCAGACATACTTGTATCAATATTGCAAGCGATTGATAGAAATAAAATATATAACGATGAATATATTTGTTTGGTTTAGACCTGTTGTTGTTTCTTATTTCATTGATCAATTGCTCACTACCTCAGTCTGCTCTGGGCGATTGTACTCATTCCTGAGGAATGTGGTCACACTACGACCTCGACGATGCAAGTATTTAACGTGTAGTAAAGGCTACATGACATGCAAAGTCAGGTGACATAACTTTACGCCTGTGACAGACTGTGATCTTCAATATCACTTCCTCCTTATAACGAACACTGTAATCAGAGTGTGCGATATACGCAAGCGCCGTGCACTATGCAGTGTGCTGACTCTATTTATAAATAGTGCAGACAGTCCTGGTCTTATCTCGGCTTTATTTTGACGGTGTTAGAGTACACGGCACGGCGCATTATTTACAGCCTAGTTATGTGCTGTTTGTTACCTTCACTGTGTAAGTACTTGCGTCCGCATGGATATTCAAACCTCTGTTTTATTGCTTGGCATGTTTCCAAATGTAAACAATGTTAACCGTAAACATTTAGCTGTAGCTGTTATCAATGTCCGTTGTCGAGTTATCCATTCGGCGAAGTGAATGTTGATTTACACCGCAGTCATTTGCTCCAGATAAAGTAGTGGTTGATAGCATGAACAACTTTACACACTGTCGGGGTGCGATGACGCGCAGCCCTACAGGTAACCCATTGTTAATTCACCAACCGCAGTGTAGTCGGCTCTTATACAACAGGGGCCACCTGTAAAACTTAAGTAATGCTGTTCTGGTTACTTTTTGTAGCGGTCGTGAAAAAGCTGTGTTTTTATTGACTCGATCCAAAGTGTGATGTAAATGGTTGACGGATTTCTCACTCTTTAAAAAGTATGCATGCAATGACGGGGTCATCATGGGTTATCGTGACAAGTGTTTGCACATGTGATTAGCATGCATGATTATGACAAGTCCATAATTGTAGTTAAACGTGATTTGTCATGGTGCATAAGATGTGTTTCCGTACACGTATATGTATAAGTATATGTCAATATTGTTCAACTATCTAATGCACACGAAACGCCCACATGCGTCACTCCGCATGCACCATTCACACTAAAGGTGGACTTGAAAGGACAAACACAAACATATTTCAGTACCCGGATGACAGAGGGCAGCGTGACCTGACCCTCGACCAGATCGATAACGTTCCCTAACGTGCAGTATGATATGTGCTCTATAGTTAGGCTGAGCGTCGTGTTTCTGTCTGTATTTCATATCATAGGTTCTGGACTATGTCAGCGGAAAAAAGAACGGGGAAGTGCTTGTTGTCCCTGTTTATTATTTTCACTACAGTCTGTCTTTCATCTTTATTGTAAATATTAATCAGTTAAAAAAAACAAAAAACAAATAAACATCCACTACATTCCGGTTAAAGCACCTGTCCCAAATTCTGTGTTAGAAACTGATTTATGTTGAATAAACGTTTGTCTGGTAAATTTGTTTCTTTGTTTGTTGTTTCATCACATCAGATGTCGTTAATACACCTCATCATAATTAGTAAGGTGATGCGATGGAATTTAACGTCGCGTCCAAGATCATTGCCCTTATATAGCGACGTGGATGAACGTGCGTGTGTGTGTGTGCGTGTGTGTGTGCGTGTGTGTGTGTGCGTGTGTGCGTGCGTGTGTGCGTGTGTGTATGTGTGTGTGTGTGTGTTTGGGGGGGGGGGGGGGCGGACGGGGGGGGGGGGGGGGGGGGGGCAGTCCAGAATAATGTTAATTTAATAGTGCTAGTCCACTGGGATCCCATGCCACAGTTTAACATGAATACCCCACTCAGACACAGTACCTTGACTCTGAGCCGACGAATGCTTGTTTTAGCCTCTTTTCGCCGAGAGCCAGACAGGATAACAACAATTGGAATATTGTAACTTCTTTGGGAATGTCGCGGCCGGGAATCGAGCCCACGGCCATGAGCTCTCAGAGCGGACGCTCCTCCACAAGACCACAGGCGGTCCGTCATAACGGGAAGGTTGCCTCTAGGAGAGTTGAAGAAACCCTTCTTGTTATACAGTCATGTGGAGATCCTTTGAATAGGTATGCTTATATATGAAACCGATGCGGCACTTTCACTGGTTTTCTTCATTTCTAGTTCAGAAGGGTAAATCAGTGGAGGAGGATTGGTTGTTGGACAAATATTGAACGATATCAAAACCGTGTTTCAATTTCGCCAATCCAATCACCACATTGCACAGTGATGTTATCAATGATTAACTCCAGCATGTCTGGTAATGCCTTCTCAGTAAGCTTAAGAGAACAGTTTATTTATTTCTGGACAAATTGTCCTGAACCTTTCAAGATTGAGATGTGTTAATATATACAGTCAACAGGTTGAAGTGGCAAATGCCCTACGACTCAAGGGATGACGATTTTCCTTAGGTTTGTCGTAGAAATGGTCACAAAGTTTAGTTTTCGAGAAATCACATGCTATTAATTCCACTTGTCTCATATCAAACTTCAAATATATGACCAATGTCAGTGTGTGGGAAACATATATAAACATGCACTACAACAAAGCTCACACCAAATATAGATTCTGACTAATCCTTGTCCCTCTCTCAACAACACACTAACAAAATAACAGATATGGCACATACAACATATAAACATTACACAACTCTTTTCTACTTCCTGCTCTTTTCTAGCTATCTCAGTTCCTGGTAGCTTCACGCGCAGACCTCCGAGGTAGATATTTCAGTTTCTGGTAGCCTCACGCTCTGACCTCTGAGGTAGATATGTTATCCTTTATTTCTAAAGCGTCTTGGACCCAAACCCTTGCTATAACGCGTTCTTACTAACAGGTCATGGGTGTGGTTCCTGGTTCCGCTGTGTCTGAAAGTTCCAGGTCACGTGATAGACTGGTTTGTCTATCACCAGTGAGAGGATCATACATCACTGCTTCATCAATGACATCATACACTCGAGCATCAGTGTCCTCTGTTGACATGTGTACGCCATGGGTAGGCGTGAGGTATTGAAACCTGCAAGGAGATTGTCTCGTTAGAATACTCATGTCATTCCTTGGATCACAGTGTGTGTTTTACCAACAATTTCAATGGTTGTCTGTCTACATTGATCAGTTATTATGGTAAGTATGACATGGAGACTACTTTGGTCAGTTATTATGGTAAGTACGAAATGGGGACTACTTCGGTCAGTTATTATGGTAAGTATGACATGGGGACCACTTTGGTCAGTTATTATTGTAAGTACGACAAGGAGACCACTTTGGTCAGTTATTATGGTAAGTTTGACATGTAGACTACTTTGGTCAGTAATTATGGTAAGTATGACATGGAGACCACTTTGGTCAGTTATTATGGTAAGTATGACATGGAGACCACATTGGTCAGTTATTATGGTAAGTATGACATGGAGACTACTTTGGTCAGTTATTATGGTAAGTATGACATGGAAGACCACTTTGGTCAGTTATTATGGTAAGTTTGACATGTAGACTACTTTGGTCAGTTATTATGGTAAGTATGACATGGAGACCACTTTGGTCAGTTATTATGGTAAGTATGACATGGAGACTACATTGGTCAGTTATTATGGTAAGTATGACATGGAGGCCACTTTGGTCAGTTATTATGGTAAGTATGACATGGAGACCACTTTGGTCAGTTATTATGGTAAGTTTGACATGTAGACCACTTTGGTCAGTTATTATGGTAAGTACGACATGGGGACCACTTTGGTCAGTTATTATGGTAAGTATGACATGGGGACCACTTTGGTCAATTATTATGGTAAGTATGACATGGGGACTAAGTATGGACGTATTGTGACCCCGTATCTGAGAATATTTCTGAATATGGCACACTCACCTGTTTTTTCTTAAGTGTTGACAATACTTGTAGCAGCACACAACCAGGAATACTATTACAATGAAAAGCACACCTGCAGCAGCAAGTCCTATAAACAGTCCCACGTTATTACCTGACAAAGAAAAACGAGGTTGATTTGTAAATATTGCTGCAGGGCTTTCTTGTAAAATTTGAGACAAGCTGATTGATGTTCTCCAACTGCACAGTCAACCAGGATATATATCCTCTGTTTAAACATTAATCAGCTTGTCTTACATTTTACAAGAAATCCCTATACATGTCTGTTATAAGGGCTGTAGGAAACGGGCTCATGGTTAGGTTAGGGGCTGGGCATAGGGGTTTGGCACATACGAGATGGGTGCAGGTGCAAGAGATGGGGAAGTGGTAGGTGCAAGATGGTGCAAGACGTGCAGTGGGTGGCAGGTCTAAGACATAAGGGGTTTGTAAGTTTATTAGATAGGTGAGGGCGAAGTCTGAGTTTAAACCTCGTAGTAGAAGAAAATGTGATTGGATGAGTAATTTCATTCACATGGGAGGTGTTTCAGCCAAATTGTGACTTCAGGATACATTTCATGTCCCATTTTGTCAACAAAGAACACACCTATAACCAGTCATCAAAGAGGTATGTATACTAGTTTTATAACATGTTTACGCACACCACAACACAGAAACGACACAGCTAACTTTTACTCATAGTAAAATGCGGCAGACCTAACGGACTTTGAAATAAGACCAATTGCATGTGTGTGCTGTGGCAGAAAAAAGGAGTAGGGATTGATCAAATGGTCGAGATATAGTAGAAGTGGTATGTGTGGCATGAACACTGTTGAACGTCGGGTGGGATTGGTGACGTGGGTAGGTTGAACGATAGGGTTGGAAGGGATTGGTGACGTGGGTAGGTTGAACGATAGGGTTGGAAGGAATTGGTGACGTGGGTAGGTTGAACGATAGGGTTGGAAGGGATTGGTGACGTGGGTAGGTTGAAAGATAAGGTTGGAAGGAATTGTTGGCGTGGTTGGCATGAGGAATAGTGGTAGTGGCTGGTGTAACAGAAACGTATTGAAGTAGGGATCGGAAGGGATATAAACATAGCAATGTGTTTTTCACCGAAGGCCATTGTGGTTAAACACTTTCAACCAAAGCATTCAATGCTTTGATTCACGTGTTTGCGACGGGTGCCACGGATGGGACAGGGTACCTTCCGCTTTATTGCGACTATGTAGTCTGAATCGTAGTTGTACCTAATAGCAGATATTTATTTTGACTTTTGAAATAGTTACTTTTCTTTCTGAACAGAAATATAATACTTCCTTTGAGGGGCATCCTTGCACATTGTGTTTAATGTGCACCATCATATAGTATATACTTTAATAGTTCTGATGGACACATGTGCATCTAAGTTTGTAGCCTTTAGGGCAGTAATACTGTGAACAATTTTCATAAAATAATACTTACCTGATGTCTCTTCGCATGCTCCTGTCAACCTATTGCATGGGTTACATCCTTTTAAACAGTTCTTACAATCAGTCCCGTAGTGTGAGTCTACACATCCAGACACACAGGAGGAGTCCAGCTGACAATATCCTCCATCACAACCACCTGGACATGCTGTACAGTTACCCCCTGGACTGTCACATGGTATGTTGCAGTTGATGCCTTGGTATCCTAGCACACAACCCTCAGTGCAGTTAGCACTACCATGGCTTGAGATCACACATGTGTTATTCCTACAGTTTTTGCTGCAGTTAGACTTGCAACTCAGACCATAATATCCAGTGTCACACTCAGTGAGGCAATACCCTGTCTCACCGTCACAGTCTGAACAGTGATGGGTGTCCTTGCATGAACTGGCTGAAAGTTATATTGCATTTATTATAATTGGTGGTCTTATGAATAGGAAAATTGGCATGTTGATATTGAAACATGGTAAATAAGTAGGTCAGAACATGCTGACCTATTGAAAATACTTGGTGTCTCCATTGATTCTCAGTGACTCATTCATTTAACTGTCGCCACTATGTTTGCTTTTTCGCCCAATGAAATCATTGAGTCTGATTATTGTATTGCCTTGACATTGTATATTAAATGACCAGTTATACGTGACCCACCACAGGTATAAAGAAATAAAAATGTGACTTATAATACCTGAAGAAATGTCTACCAATTGCGTGGTTTAAAAGATATAAAAAAACTGAATATACCTGAACAGCAGCTGCTGAAAACTGATGATAACGGCGTTGAGAATTACCCGAGACTTATAATACCTGAGGTGTTTTGTACCAATTGATTTGGACTTGAGAGGAACAGTCTGATTGTATCTAAACAACTGTATGATGTATGAAGTAAGCTATAATTAGCATACATTTAGGGTATGAAGACGTGATTGTCGTACAGCATTTAGCTTATATTATTCATGCGAGTATCAGTATTAATACAGACGACCCTTGCATGATGAGGTTATCATTAACGTCCCTGGGGACGAAGTTCCCTGATAGTGCCTGCACACGGTCTCGCATAACCATGCAGAATGGCATCTCTGTAGTGCCTTCCTGTAGGACATGGATATTCTTCCAGCTCTACTGATCACTCCCTATATATGTTAGAGCCTACCCTGTAGCTGTCATGTAGTGCCTTCCTGTAGGACATGGATATTCTTCCAGCTCTACTGATCACTCCCTATATATGTGTGAGTCTACCCTGTAGCTGTCATGTAGTGCCTTCCTGTAGGACATGGATATTCTTCCAGCTCTACTGATCACTCCCTATACATGTTTGAGCCTACCCTGTAGCTGTCATGTAGTGCCTTCCTGTAGGACATGGATATTCTTCCAGCTCTACTGATCACGCACTATACATGTTTGAGCCTACCCTGTAGCAGTCACGCTGGGCATGGCGATCTGTGAAATCTTGACAATATCACTTAAAAGTACTGGAGCCCAGCCCTGTCTGTCCAGTTGGCGTTACCAGTGGAACGATTCTGTCATGGCACATCCAAACACAGGATTTCAAGCATTTCATGCACATTTTGCCCATGAGTTCATGCCTCTACCCGTTCACCATGACATTAAGGTTCTGTAGGGGTTACCCAATAATTGCATACTTGGATATTTAAATTTAAATTTGTTGGATGATTGTCTTATATCAGCAAACTTTAAGTTGTATATTCCCCTTTCGGAGAAAAAAGGCAAATGGTACAGTGTGTCAAACACCAAGAACTTGTTTTAACCTCAGTAGCGGTTTTCTTTGAATTGGGGACAAGTTCGTCTGTCAGTTTCAGTGTATTGTTTACTCTATTTCCTTTTTTTCAAATCTAATTTGGGGATCTAAGTAATTGTGATTAAGTATGCTCTAAAGTTTCAAAACTTTCAAACTTGCTGTGTTGCTTTATTTGCCCTTTGATCTTACATTATTTAAAATGACACTTTATTTTACATAGGTATGGACATAAGCAAATAAAAACACTCAATAAGCAATATACACACAACGTGTTACCTTCAGCAGCAGTTACCAAGCAGGCAATCGATATCAGCGAGGCAGTCATTATGTTGACTGAAACTGATAAGAAAGAACAATTAAGTGATATCGCACGTTACCCATTGACAAAAACATTTAAACAATGAAATAACAATTGTTTGATGCAAAGACAAATAAACTTAAAGTTGTCAAGGTGTGCAGAAAACAAAGAGTAAGGTCCTAGGAGTGGAATACATGTGTATACTCCCCATGTAGCCGGGAATAAAAGAAGATGGACACAGAACATATCACATTATATGGAGTCAAACTTATTGAAAAGCTTTATTGAAGCCTTGAAAGGTGTAACTCTCATGAAACAACTTTTGAGCAAGCGCCATGTGACGAGTTTTTGGAAAAAACTTGCTCAATTGTACCTTACAAGAAGTGAAATGTATCACACAACGGATGGAGCTGCTGAAATATAGCTAGGAGTTGGAAGTCATCCTGAATGTGTATGTATATATCTCTATGTATAAACATGAAACAGATAAGGCAGTTTTACTGGTCAAATTCATTTCTAGTTCTAGTGGGTAGATGAGTCGAAGAGAATTGGCAATGTTACCATTATTCATCGATATTAGATCACTGTAATACCTTACCTGTGAACATCTGGGTGGGAATAGATCTTCAGCAGCCCATGCTTGTCATAAATGGCTACTATGCTTGTCACAAGAGGTGACTAACGGGATCAGGTGGTCAGGCTAGCTGGCTTGATTGATGCATGTCATCGTATCCCTATTGCGAAATCGTATCCCTATTGGTCTAGACTCGATTATTTACAGACTGCCGTCATAAAGCTGGAACACAAACAAACAAATAAACAAAGATTAATGTACCTGAGGCTTAAATTAAACTTTAAGAATTGCATTAGCCTCAGCCGTAAAACTATAATTTTTACCTGGAATTCTCGAAGACACCATTTCCTATCCAATGAGAGTGACACTTCAAACATTGCCTCCATCCTTGGAACCATTAGTAAAGAATCATATTTTGGCCTTAATTTGGTATTTTCTTGTAGATAGACCAATTGGTTTGTGTTAGATATTTTAGTGTAGTTAGTGTAATGTCTACCTCCTGTTTGACTGGGATCCTACATTAGGAACACGTTTTAGATACAAAATAAAGTGACAGACAGAATATTGCTTTGCGTGGACACCCTGATCCGGAATATATTGGTCAGACAGGGTTGAACCCAATTGGACTTGAAATTGACTGTTTAAAATGATGAAATTAAATGACTAAAGTGGCCACTCAAACCAAAATCATATAAATCCTTCAGAATGGCATGCTTCCAAGTAGTGGCAAATAGAGATATTTATGATGACAATGGTCGTTCCTACTATCTGTACTTTTAAGGTACATTTCGTGACGACATAAAGCAGACAGTTTAAAATCCTGGATCAACAATTGAATGTCATAAAGATTATTTCTAAGTCCTCTGCAATTCCGTTAGATTAGGTTAAGTGGTTGAGTTATGGTGGTTCAAAGGGAGACCTCTCACATGATCATATGGAGGAAGTAATCCTGCCTCGGTCTTCTGAACACAGGGTCCCCTTCATTTCTGGAGGTCCAAGCGATAGGACCACTGCACAGAGACAACAACCCTGACATTCCGCACTTTGAAAATAAACAGTGTCCGCTCCACAGTGTAATGATAATATTACCTTTAAGAACTGCGACGGTCTATTTTCTTAACATTTTCAAATATATTATCATAAAGACACTCTTTGTGTTCGGCGACGACGTATCAAGGACTATATCATTGTATATATTGTACGGGTGATCTGACGCCATAAATGCTGTGCTTAATGTGTTGTCTGCTAACTCAAATTATATGATGTGCACAAGACTAACAGTTAACGATTACTGTCACCACACAAAAACAAATCACAATGCCTGGCTCTCGACTTACAATGTGCACCGAGTCGTGGAGAATAATTCCAAGCCTTATTGTGTCCATCATCATGTCTTGCACAAGAACCTCTCCCATACTATGTGAGTTAAAAACAAATGCTTGTGTTATGGTTAACATCATATAGTGGACTCGCATTGAGCAGATTCCTTATTCCTTATGATCCTGGAAGAATTGTTTTAATTCAGAATGTCAACACTTGATGATAATGGCTGAACATGCATTACAATCTGGTCCTCTCTGCTACTGTCGTTACCTGTGTTATACCTCGATAGTGACATTTGAAACTTTCACTGTGAGCCGCTCAGCGACTAATGCCTCCCGCTTACATAAGTTGTGTGTACACGTTGATACTTGACACTCATATAAGTGTCACGACTGCCGATAGATAGTAATGTAATCAGTCACACAACCAAGCCAAGGCATGTGCTCAAAAGATTCTTACCCAAACTGTCCGAGATGAACCGAATGTGACTACAAATCACAAACAATACTCACCAACATCTCATGAGAACAGGACAATTGTTTACGCTGCATGTGTCACCTGTACCCCAGAAAGCCTGCCGAACGGGTAGCTTTCCTCTTGTCAGCCTCGTATCAAGTCTGCATGTATACTTTATTTTTGCCACTGCATGACTAGATGCTCATTCGGGTCACCACGTATACCCGCGTTAACTGTTGTTGTACACATTCATCAGCTATGTACTGTTCAACCTGTGATAAGGATACTGAGATAAGGAACCTTTTATGTATCAGTAAAGTCTGAATTATGAGTTTGCCGTTCGGTGTATCACAGAATAATCGTCCTGATGTTGTATAGTACATTGTAACTGCAACAACACCTCCTGCATTATTGTCATGCTATCAACGTACTACAGGGGCATGAATAGAACACTGTGACACAGGAGCGCATTCCCCTTGCTAAATATCATATATCACTGGATGACATGTATACACTCTCATAACAAAGATATGGACACTGGATAATGTACACACACATTCATTCCACACACCCGCGCTGCTATCTATGATATGACACCAGATAATGTATGAACACACTCGCGACACACAAAAGGACGCTACGACCTTGCTAAATAGTTTAATATAAAACGATAATGGAAAAAAATAACGAGTCTCGATTATTGTCGATTGGGGGTAAAAGGCAATTTAGTGGTGACAATTATATAAGTAGGTCTTCGCAGATATGTGTATACAACCTCTCATAACACACATCGACAAAAAGGCGCAGAGAGGTGTATGCTATCTATCGACACACATGGACGATAGGGGCAGGGAGGTCTATACTATCTCTCATAACACACACTGACGATAAGGCGCTGGGAGGTGTATACAACCTCTCATAACACATTGACGATAAGGCGCAGGGAGGTGTACACAACCTCTCATAACACACATAGACGATAAGGCACAGGGAGGTGTATACAACCTCTCATAACACACATTTACGATTAGGAGCAGGGAGGTGTATACAACCTCTCATGACACACATTGACGATAGACCAGGGAGGTGTATACAACCTCTCATCACACATTGACGATAAGGCACAGGGAGGTGAAAACAACCTCTCATGACACACATTCAGGATCAGGCACAGGGAGGTGTATACAACCTCTCATCACACATTGACGATAAGGCACAGGGAGGTGAAAACAACCTCTCATGACACACATTCAGGATCAGGAACAGGGAGGTGCATACAACCTCTCATAACACACAGTGACGATAAGGCACAGGGAGGTGAAAACAACCTCTCATGACACACATTGATGATAAGGCACAGGGAGGTGTATACAACCTCTCATAACACACATTGACGATAAGGCACAGGGAGGTGTATACAACCTCTCATAACACACATTGACGATAAGGAGCAGGGAGGTGTATACAACCTCTCATAACACACATCGACGATAAGGTCATGCTAAATATTCTATAACACTGAGTCATGCTTGTAAACACTTATAATACACCAGCTCAAGGGTACGCGAGGAAGAATGTGTGCCAAGCACTGCATTGCGACCACATTGGGCTATCAGGTTGCCTTGGTTTGCATCCCCGTGTAGGTGGATGAGTCTGGAGCACTTGTTTCAGTAGTAGTGTCCCTTTGCCCAATACACCACCTAGACCCTTACTTCACCCATACAGCGTTTTGGGCCCAGTTAAACCGTATCAGCAGGACATGCCGTACTCTGTGTATCAATATTGTATTGCTGAAACTTGTAAATCTATTCAAAAGATTCAAATTATAATCTTAATTATGTAATTTACCTAGAATCAAAAGTCCAGAAGCCCATTGCGCATGTTCAAATCAAGAGCAAAATAAAGGCTTTCAGTTTGTGCGTGCTTGAGTTTATCTCCCGAGTACCCTTTGTTACATGACAGTGTATTTCATTGTTAAACAATGAGTGTTACTTTATTACATTTGTTTCTTTTGAGGAACCTTGGGCACGCCTGAATACAGTGATATAACAGTAATGCTGATCAAAGCAGCGTTAAACCCAATTCACTCACTGGAAAATGCTGTTGATATTCAGTAGAAGTCCATTGCAATGTATTTGGACAATGGTTAGTCGGAATCAGGATCAGGAATGTAGTAGTATTTAATGTAGGCATTGGTGAGAAAGTGATTATATTTATATGCTCGAACTATCTGTAAACTCTTCTATAGCATGGATTGATGTGAAACGTTATAGAAACATATGGAATAGTTTGTGATGTTCAAGTGAAACTGAACTGGTCTGGCACTGTGAAGAAAGTACTTGGAACTGGTTAGCCTATTCAAGTAGAGAGGGCGCGTGCCAGTTTCATCCCACGTTTCATCTCGCATTCCATCTGACATTACACCAAGACCAGCGGTTGTGTGAAGATCTTTTATCACCCCAGATTCCCAGCCTTGGCCCATCTAGGAAGCCTGACCTCTGTTGCGGATAGGTACATATTATTTCTTTTTGGTAATCGACATCTTGGTGCTGCAAGTCAGAGATCCACTAGTTCTCAGCATTGTCTCTGTGATACTCCAAGGTGGGTGGGGAGCTCGAGTAATGAAATATTATATAATGAACGTGAACGGACCCCTAAAACAATACACATCCACTTGGCAGAGACCTACACATCCGTTAGTTATGGCTAACTTATGGCTTTTCTACCTCACATATATTTTCCTGTCAATGTGAATTAGATTCAAAGTACCTCACTATCAATCAGCCGTGTATGTTTGTTGTTGGTTGTTTATTCAAATATCAAATGTATATGCAATGAAGTTCTATTTTTGTTTTTACATAAATAAGAAAGAAAACAAGCCCTAGTATGTGTGAAGTCAATTTATATTTTTGTAATATCTTTTGTAAATACTTCCTCTAAATATTTCCACAAGAGAAAAATAAAAAAAGAGTACTGCTGTTTCATTGTGCTGTTTAAATGTTGTGATTTAATGTTGATCTGTCATTTAGAAATATATTTACCACAAGGGTATTTTCTTATCGATACAAGTTTTACCTTGATTCTATTATTTTATCTATTTACAATCATGTATAGTAATACATAAATTAAAGTAATTTTAATTCATACTTCTTCTTTTTTGTGAACAAAGAAAGAAACAACTTGGTAATGAAAAGACTATTCTCAGTTGAGTACATCATGAGAAAGTAGGACAAGACCTGGTTGAAATACTTCTTTTTTTTTCATATACAATCATTATTAAGTTCACATGCAACTTGACTTTTTATCTAATGAACAAAATCGAGGAACAGTCTAAAGTCTATGTCTCGCATGTAATGAATCAAGGAGTAATGTTTTGTTGTTTGTTTTTTATTCATCAGGACTTTTACCTGTTCTTGAAAAAAAACTAAACTTTTTGACTTCAGACACAACTATATACTAGACAGTGTGTTCCAACTTTGTTGGAAGGTCTACTTCTTACCAGTTACTAACGCTCAACCAGCCAGTAAGGTTAAACAAGAGAAAAATGGACAATTATACGTGCACTTTTAGGAGTAATAATACGAAGAGCAAAAGAGAACATGAATTAATAGAATAATAAGTATAAAGACGTTATGTAATACCGTATAGTGGCGAGGCGTTCAACGACGTTCCTAAAATTTGCAGTTGGTAATGAAGTTACTGCTCACCCGCACTTACATAGTCTTACATTATTGAATATACATTCCATTACAACCAATGGAAATGTCGTGTTTATAATATTATGTAATAAATGTGATGACACATGTATCCCTTCACACTCCCTAAAAAAACTTTTCGTTTCTTTTTTGATGAATTTTACAAAGTGATATTTGTTTCACCAATGTGAGATTAAAAGTTATTCGATGATTTGATAAATGTTTTAACAACGTATTTATGAAATGCAACACTTTACAAATTTACTTGTTAAGTATCTTTCTTTTTAAAATATTTGGATTTCACAACCGAGAAAAAATAAATTCATGATAAATAAGTGCGTTGAAACAAAACAAAAGAACATGAACAAATATCTGTTGATGGTTTAAAACATCTAATTAATAGAAGTTCGTATCTTTATTGGAAAGGCTTTGCCTTTTCAACAACTCAGATACTAATTGTTCATCTTTGTTAAACTATTTCTTTTAGCAATAAGCCTTCATATGCAGGAGAGGTCAACTAGGTAAACCACACTCGCTAACCTTATCGTCTCACTTAGATGTTTTGAGTGGATCACAATGAGTGGAATGGAAAATGGAGAAATATGGAATGACGCTTCTCACGTTTCCAAATTCAAAACATTGACAAAATATCTCACTTTTTAAAAAAGAAGAAGAATGATATGCATAATAGGAATTGTATTACTTGTTGGTCGACTCAGCAGCATTTTGTTCTAAATACGAGTCAGTGGTGACCTCGACAGAAAAAAACCAACAGATTGTGTCTATTTTTTTTATTTTCAACTGATTGGATAACTTAACAAACTTAAATTTGTATTATTCATATTCGCACAACAAAACAATTATTAATTGCCTGTGATCAACAAGCACATGCTCCCGATAAAATTGGAAGTGTACAACGGAGTATGCAAGATTGTCTTATGATGGTGGAAATACTTTCAATACTTTTAGTAGGACCTGATTCACCACAGAACTCCGATCTCTGTGGAGAGACGTATCGACGACACACTTTATTTCGTAAAGTTTAATGACAAAGCGAAAACCCCGACAACAAATATAAAGACTAACCTATTTAAATATGACACAAAAAGCAAGTGAGTCGAGATTGACCTGCAGGGAAAAGGTAAAATTTGAATGCAGTTTCAACGATTCTAACCCAAGACATTCCAGTTTACTGCTGGAGATAGCAATGCTAAGTCTTAAAATTATTCACATATCTGGCTTGAAGAACAGTCAGTAGATGCGTCTCTAAAAATATTGAACAAGGAAACAACTTTAGGTTGGTAGACACATATTATTCCAGTTGTGCCATTGATGTTAGCACTGAGCCAATATTCTGTTTTGAACATCCAACTGTCTGCATAGCCTGTTTCCATCTCGAATGTGAACACTGAAACCTGAAAAAAACAACAACACAATCACAAGGAAATTCTAAACTGTGGGATCACATATCAGTTCATTTATTTAATACTGTTTGACACGCAGTAATTGGTGATGGTGGTTTCTGTGAGCACAGTTCATTCTCTGTGATTGCTAAACTTTGCGTCAATATTTGAGTTTGATTTGATGTATAAATTTGGTTGGTTTGTTTGTTGTTTTACGCCACACTCAGCAATATTCCAGCTATATGACGGCGGTCTGTAAATAATCGAGTCTTGACCAGACGAACCATTGATTAATATCATGAGCATCCATCCACACAATTGCGATCGATGGCATTCATAAACCAAGTCAGCGAGCCTGACAACCCGATCCCGTTAGTCACCTTTTACGACAAGCATAGTCACCTTTTATGTCAAACATGGGATGCTGAAGACCTATTCTACACCGGATCTTCACGAGTATGATGTATAAAGGTACACTGTATACTCGTCACGGTAAGGCAGTGATGAAACTGCCCAGAGGAGACGATTATGATTAAAGTAACTCACGTATTCAACGAACCAGCCATCTGAGTGGCAGGAATCAGCAAACGCAAGACCAACCTCGTTCACGGTGCAGACGGAATCGTCGACAAACTGAAAGTGATACAACTAAACCTGTGAAGCTGATATTTTCCGTATATTTTCCACCCATTGATCACACACTTTTTTACAGGTAGCTGTGTATGCATCGCATATCAGTATCCTTTGCTTAGTCCTTTGTGCAAATATATAAGTGCATAGTGGTTAGTTTTTACATAATTCTATCAGCATGACAATAGAAATCGAACCTAGATATTAAGCATAACAGTTAACCACCGCCCCACCAACATGTTGGAGCTTCAATATGCATTCAATTTTGAACATGGGTCCTTAAACCAGACCACATAAATCTGATGTTTATGCACAGTCAGTAATATCTCAGGAAAGTTTAATACACATATTTCTTCAATAGTACGTGTATACTAATGGACTTCATCGATACAAACATGTTGCTTCAGCCCTTTTATTCCAAAAAGAAAAATCACGTTACCTTGTGCCTGCTTATGTCTCCTCTCTTTAGACTGATATCTTCCCCATGTTTCAAGTCCCTTCCAACTTGTCCACACGTCCCTGCAATGGTTAACCGCAGGTCAGCATCGGAACCAGCGTATCTTTTCTTTCCAGTCTTGATTGTTATTTCGTAAGTTGTGTCTGTGTGTTTGAAATTAGGTACAAGGACATGATGTCACATCTAACTCGGGCTGTATATAAATCTTGTTCACACATCAGGCAATGAATCTACACCATCACATTATTTTCAGAGAAGCATAAAAAAACTACAACAGACTAACTTGGTAAATTCATAGTGTAGCATGAATGTGCAGATGAAAGCTTTTATTTGAAAACAACAGATTATATGTATTGTAGAATAAAGCAACAGACTGAAATTGGGCACAGCCACCATAGTCTTAATTGGTAATAAACTGATATCTGATATCTATACAGTCTTTGTTGATCATAGCCCCTAATCAAATCCCGATCATGTACCTCAACTAGGACTGACGTATACAGGTAAACATAATATAGAAGCCTGTATGAATTTGAAGACATGCATCAACCAAGTCAGCGATACTACCTCGTACCGCAAGCTTGAGTTGCTGAAGACCTATTCTAACCCGGATCTTCACGGGTCACTCTTAATGTAAATGCCCATGCATCTTGATAATGTTGATGCCTGCCACGGGCTACACCTTTTGAGACCCATCGATCCAGATCCCATAAAGCAATTAACCCTATTTCCTAATATTCACGAGGGGATCTGTGCGCTTCCAGCCACAACCACATCTCATCACTGTTCGTACACTGACTGACTGAAACACTGGTACTTACGTTGAACCTCACATCTCTTTATGCACTTGTGAGTGTGCACTAGGCCATCAGGGGTTCTACCTGCTGTCCCATCGTTCTCTCCATCATCACATCCTTCTGAAAAATATTGACACTAACATTGACATCATATCTGCCAAATGACACGTTTGTTGTAATATCCAAAAGAAAGGTGTTAATAGTGATGGTGTCTTTAGTTGTCGTATATGGTGTCATATTAGGCTAGCAAACAACTATATGGAATTGATTATGCTGAAATGTTTTCATTATCCAATACCTGTAACGAACATGTCATGTCAAAATAAAAACTTACAACCCCAAGGGTCAAAGGGTGACTACTCTTAAAATCTAAGAGGACAAATGTTGAAACAAACAAACCTAAGAAAACCTTACAACAAATATGGCCAGATTGACTTTGGTGAAGATAGAGAGAAGGATATTGGTATAATGTAACGTCGCATCGATAACCAAGGTTATCTTATGCCACACCGTGGCGTGCTGTTCTGTCAACATTTAATTCAAACTACTTCTTCTTTTGAACCACAAATTGGAAATTAACGAAATTTGACTGGAAGCATCCATAGATAGATATCAACCATATTATGTTGGAAGCATCCCTAGGTGGTGGGGATTCAAAATCGGACAAATGGAGGGGCTGATCCCACCAGGACTGAGGGGCGGGGCCAAGAAGATTCATAACTTGGACACAGTTAATATCCCCACTGTAGAACCATATGCACAATTGCTGAGTTTAATGAGAGGAATGCACATACGCTACCAGGACTGGCCCTTCTGTTCATCTGTCACGCACTCCCATAGGAGTTAGAACCTTGATCATAACATGCAAACCGATATTATCCCCATCCTATAATATACAAATAATTGTATACATGTGTTTGTTATGAAGAGATTTATACATTTGTGCCAATAGGATTCACCCTGCGGTCCTATCCTGCCTCTGGAAACTTAGATCGTGGATCATAACATGGAAACGGTTCAGATCTTATGCTACATTTGTAGCTAGAGAAATACACGTTCTTGCTGTCAGATTTTGCCCTCCACTCATTTTAAATGCTGTCGGAGTCAAAATTACGAAATATTTGCAGTATTATATACATGTTCAATGGAAATGTATATTTTGTCATGATTGCGTAAATATCCAGGTGAGCAATTCAGGGCCTATTGGCGTCTTTTATTTCAAAGGCTGGTGTACAAAACATCTACTTACTGTATTCCAAGTAGCCGTCACACCTCCTGTCAGCTCCGTTATACACAAAATACATACATCTGCTATGTTTGTAACAGGTCGCAGCACACAAGGCAAGGCTAATGTCAGGATCAGAAAATATTGGGTCATTTTTGTCCTCCTGTTTTCTGCTACGGACGTGAACTACCCGAAATATGAATATGCACCAAATAATCCACGCAAGTTGATGCTTCATGTTTGTAACAGGCTCTGAACACAAATGGTGACAAAGCATCGTTGCAAAAATATTTTTGTCTGGTTGGCCATTAGTAGCTAATAGGATTCTTCACACAATTTATTTTATTAAAGATCTAAAGCTATACTAGATTAGAAACTTAATAGAGGTTATCACGAGAGTGTGTTTTGGGATGGCAACTGTCACGTATAAAGAATAATCGTTATAATAATAATCATCAGTGCTTCGGCGACCTAAATAAAAAAACGGTATGTATTTTAACTGCAGGATTGTGGCACCCCACAACGCACAAGTATGACACCTGTTTATCACATAATGTCAGTCTCATCAGCCTTAATTTATCACTAAGCTAAGTTTGTTTGTTTTGTAACTTCGCACTCAGCAATATTCCAGCTACATGAAGACGATCTGTAAATAATCGAATCTGGACCAGACAATCCTGTGATTTTGACATAATGGCATCGAGCTAAGTATTTTCATTTCTCACAAACGGTATTTTGTTTTCCTGGAATGTACACGCTGTTACAGTACATCATGCATTCAAGATACTAATCCAAATAGGCATATATTTTTCCGAACAATATTTGGTCAATCCATCTGTGAGAATGGACGATCTATTCAGCATGTATCGTAAAGTGCTAACGATATTCTGATCCAATTGAATCAATGCTGACAAGTTGCTATACTGCTTTTGGTACAAGGGCTGCAGGTATCATTGTGAATGGTCGATACAGAGCAAAGGTGTGGATACTGTGCAGGATCATATCTATCATGTTTGGAGCGTTAGCCTTGCTCTGGCATATACATGTTCAACATCCCCTGTAAAGAGCTGAACGTGATAATAGATTTATCTTTCTCAGAAATGTTTATACTATTCCGACCGCATATTAAACACGTCCGACATTTATTTTCTATACTGGTATATTTGCGTATTTTGGCATTGACAAAGGCCTACATGAAGGGACATAGTTTAATCTCTTCATTGAGGGAATACTGTTGAACGTCGCAGTCAGATGTATTCGAGCTAAATCAGGTACGGTGGTCTGTATATAATTGAGTCTGGCACACAAAATCAGTTATTGAAAGCTTCAAGAATGGTGCACATATCGTACACGTTGACCGGCAGATTACTGGTCACAAGGTGTACCACGGGATTCCGAAGGACTCTCCTCCCATAGTCAAGGTACAGATTACTGGTCACTAGGTGTACCACGGGATCCCCGCGGACTCTCCTCCCATAGTCAAGGTACAGATTACTGGTCACAAGGTGTACCACGGGATCCCCACGGACTCTCCTCCTATAGTGAAGGTACAGATTACTGGTCACAAGGTGTACCACGGGATCCCCACGGACTCTCCTCCCATAGTGAAGGTACAGATTACTGGTCACAAGGTGCACCACGGGATCCCCACGGACTTTCCTCCCATAGCCAAGGTACACATTACTGGTCACATGGTGTACCACGGGATCCCCAATGACTCTCCTCCCATAGTCAAGGTACAGATTACTGGTCACAAGGTGTACCACGGGATCCCCACGGACCCTCCTCTCATAGTCAAGGTACAGATTACTGGTCACAAGGTGTACCACGGGATCCCCAAAGACTCTCCTCCCATAGTCAAGGTACAGATTACTGGTCACAAGGTGTACCACGGGATCCCCACGGACTCTCCTCCCATAGTCAAGGTACAGATTACTGGTCACAAGGTGTACCACGGGATCCCCATGGACTCTCCTCCCATAGTCAAGGTACAGATTACTGGTCACAAGGTGTACCACGGGATCCCCACGGACTCTCCTCCCATAGTGAAGGTACCGATTACTGGTCACAAGGTGCACCACGGGATCACAAAGGACTTTCCTCCCATAGCCAAGGTACAGATTACTGGTCACATGGTGTACCACGGGATCCCCAATGACTCTCCTCCCATAGTCAAGGTACAGATTACTGGTCACAAGGTGTACCACGGGATACCCACGGACCCTCCTCTCATAGTCAAGGTACAGATTACTGGTCACAAGGTGTACCACGGGATCCCCAAAGACTCTCCTCCCATAGTCAAGGTACAGATTACTCGTCACAAGGTGTACCACGGGATCCCCAAAGACTCTCCTCCCATAGTCAAGGTACAGATTACTGGTCACAAGGTGTACCACGGGATCCCCATGGACTCTCCTCCCATAGTCAAGGTACAGATTACTCGTCACAAGCTGTACCACGGGATCCCCACGGACACTCCTCCCATAGTCAAGGTACATATTACTGGTCATAAGGTGTACCACGGGATCCCCACGGACTCTCCTCCCATAGTCAAGGTACATATATTGGTTACAAGGTGTACCTCGGAATCCCCACGGACTCTCGTCTCATAGTCAGGTTATACTGATGTTGCGTACTGTTCTGGTGCATATCGGTTTTTCACTTGTGTGATCACTTTCGTTGGTAAAATAAATATCATATAAATGTTGTGTGAATACATTGATTCAGTGATTGTTTGTTATCATTTCAATATTTTCTTCAATATATTGACTTTTAAACAATATTTCAGGTAGCTACAACTTCTACACGACAGTACCAAAAATACATCACAGTCACTGGACAAATTAAAAACAACAGCAACAAAAACGTACTGACAAAACTGAGAACAATGAATATTGAAAACAAATGAGAATGGAGTTAATTGGTGCGATTGAAATTGGCATGAACATGGTTTTGGAAATATGTTTTATAAATATTCCAGCCCAACTTAAAACTTAAAACTTATAGCAGTAACACACGAACACTGTTAACAGTCACAGAATGAATGAAATAGAAGCAAAAAAACAAAAAAACAGGGATATTAATGAATTTTGAAAACAAATAGAAACTGATCATGTTAATGGTGCGATTCAAATCGACGTGGACACGGCAGTACATTGACCATTTTTGGAGAAGGGACCGCCCATTTGATGTCTTCGGGTGGGGTTGGGATGTGTGTGGAGTGTATGTTTTGGTTGGGGGGTTTTGAGTTTATTACAGAAATACTTATGCTTCAAACGGTAGATAAAATAAGAAATTGTCTGTCACACAAATTACCTTGCTACAAGGTATTTGTCTTACAAAAAGAATATTAAGCCTCATAGTTTTGATTACATTTTTTTTTTGAATTTTCAGCACTAACTGAAAAAAAATACATCTCCAGAGAAAAATCCCAGGCCCACAACCAGGGGCATATATATTACTGATACACAAACTGTTTGGGAAAGGTTTCGTTTTTCAGATAAATCGCTGCAGCCAGAACACAACTGAATCTAGACTAGAGTGAGTGAGTGAGTGAGTTGGGTTTAACGTCACCTTTTAACAGTATTCAAGTTATATGACGGCATGTCAGCTTAATGTGAGAGGAAAGCCCAAAGTGGTACAGGTCTCAGACGTTCACGGGTATGGTGCTGACAAACCTAGATATATAATAGGGATGAACCGGGATTCGAACCCACAATCCTAGGTTTCTGGCGTGCCCAAGGGACAACTCCAACTCTGCACAGCGAATTGCGGCGCCTCAGACGACTGGGCCACCCGTGCCCCACGATTCTTGACTAGATAAAACATTGATCAATGATATGCAGTCTGACGATTCTCTGATTCTAACTACTTGGATCTTTTAAACAGTCTTCACAGATTCCGATATACGATGTTATATGTCACGTATCTTTCCTATTTCCTATACTACATCGCCTCTCATACAGTGGAATCACTCATCACTAAATAGATGTGAATTTGATGCTTGATCCCCGTACATTGGGGTTTAACATAAATGTGGCATGGCTTGATATGGCTTTCAACTAACATATGTAAGACTTCGATTATTTACATATACACGGGACGTTTCTGTCGTTTGTTTTAGTAATTATCTAACTGGATGTGAGTCTTGTTTCGTGTATTCTTCATTTACCATAATGCCAGAGAACCTCATATGTTGTAAACATTTGTTGTGTTGTCCTGATCGGTGCATGTTTATATGTCTTCTAGTATAACCAATAAACAATACATAGGTAATAATAAACACTGACAAATTTTGAACAGGACACTGTTTCTAGAAAAGGTATGTTTCACAACCGTTTTTATTGCTTGGTCCTGTGTCGAAGGTAGCCAACACCTCTTATATTAGAACGATCGAGTACGGACTTTCTAAATGTTTCCAGAAAGAATATGACACAACATGAAGTAATATCATGTGGATTCTCAAAAACAATAAGGATTTGCTTGAATTTGTGCAAACTCAGAAAAGAGCCAAGTTCAATTATGTCAAACATTCGATATTGCAACTGTGTACTCCCCTGGGGACTCGGGGTAGAATAGAATGTGTCCTCAGCACCCCGTTTTACATGGGATTCTCCTTTCTGTCGGTCGAGAAGTGGAGTCTGGTAGTTTAGAGCAGTGGTTCCAGGTGAACGGTGGCTCATGGGGCCAATCTGGTAATGTTGACCGCTGGATTCTGTATGTCTCTATTTTTTTTATTATTGGCAGAACCAGCTTGACAGTAAATTTAGTGGACAAATTTAGCTATTCATGTCATATTTGCTGGATAATAATGCCTCTGTAGCCCTGGTGTTTTGAATTTTGGATGGCCAAGGCAATAAAACACCATCCTCGTTGACACTCGATGGTGGCAGGGGACGAGGAGCGCAAACCTATCTCATTATATCTCAAAATCACTCTGGCTTTAAAAGAAAACACTTAGATGCCAGCTCATCTAATGATGAAATCGATCTCCAACTGGATTCCTCGTCTCGATTTATTGTGATCAGAGGCATCAAATCATCAACCGATGAAATTGAACCCGTTTGCCATTTTGAAGGTCATCAATGACTGTTATGGTGAGGTTTAAAAATGTCACCCACCTCGGTAATGACTCCATACTTGTGGAGTGTGTACGGAGAGTTATCATTCTCCAGCCCCAGGATAGCAGATAACCCAAGTTGCCTATGGGCGCTATAGGGTTTTTACATCCACCTCATATATTGGGTTAGGTGAACAGAGGCGTGGTTGAAATAAGTCACTTGCCCAGGGTGATACCACACGTTTTGACCCTTGTGTTTCGGGTGTATGAACGTGTTCATGTTTCCATCTGGTCAGCTATGATGAGTGGGTTCTTTAGCGTGCACAGGGCGAAAGCGTATGCTACAATTACCACGTCTAGGAAAGAGCCTGACAAAGTGATCCAGTTTAGGCAGGTCTGTACTTAGAGAAGCGTACACATATGCTGTTGGGGACAAACTCAACCCCAGAATTCCCACAGGTCTCTCTTCTCACAACATACTAAAACAGAAACAAATACGACAATATGTTGACAGTCTTTGAAATACATTTGAAATTTATACACATAAATGGATTATGTATGGATATCAACTGGTAAGTTGGTTGTAATATGAGGTCTTTGAAAGGCATTTGGAAGTGATACACATAGGGAAGATGATTTATGGATGTAAATGCTCACTCCGAAACGTTGTGTTCATCATAATTAAGCAGCTGACATCCATAAATCTTCCTTGTGGGTAATATTATTATAGTGAATTCAAAAAGTTGATAATCTATTTTCTCAATGATTGTTACTATATATATTTCAGGTTGTTTCACTGAACATTTTAGAACATTCTACATTTCTGTATCACCTATGTTGACAAGAAGTCCATTTGTCCAGGTGAACCCACATTGTTCTACATGTTCGCTTTTTTGTGAGACATTTGAAAGTAAATTATTCTGAGCACCTCAAGCATTTATCAAATAGCACGCAAGTTGAGGACTAGTTTTACTAAATGTGTCCTGATAAAGGTTATCATGAGACTCAGATCGGTGTAAACACGACACGTCAATGACCCTCACCTTGGATTAACTTCGTGCACATACCTGGAATACCAGATCAACAGAGCTGCCTATGTCCGAGTTGGTTTCGGGATTTCACAAATGCGTCTATCTATTATATTTTGCATTTCAATATAAACATAATCGATAAAATACTTCATAAATGTTCAGAATGCAGGTTTTTCATTCAACATTTCTTTACCTTCATTTCTATATCATCCATTTTGTCCTGGTGAATATAGCTTGGCTTTGGCCAGTGAACAATCACACAAAGTTATAAATTGTGTCAATGTCACATAAGGTCTGACCGAACACAGGCCAGTAGCTATTTGTTATCTTTATTTCACCTGTCCGTGTACATTGATGAAACATCAACACTGAGGACACATATGGAACAGTCCGCAAGCATGGATGAGTATGTGACGCATATCATACAACAAAACATTAGCAGAATTCACTATTAAGTTCTTAAATTATTACCAAAATGAATTGTATTTTTGTACTGAGTGATGAGTGCGGTTTTAGGCCACTTGTAGCAATATTCCAGCATCATCACGGCTGATAATTGGCTTCACCGGGAAATGGGCTTCACACATTGTACCCATGTGGGAAATGGAACCCGGGTCTTCGGCGTGACAAACCAACGCTTTAACCATCAGGCTACCCCACACCTCTCTACAATCACACCTTTACGTGGTTTGGTGCGCGTTTACTTGTGGGTCTGTTGGTTCACATTCTGAATATAATGCCATTTTTGTCCAGCCAACTGAGATACAAAACCACAGGTTAAACACGAATACCCCACTCAGAAACAGCATACTGACTTTGCGCCAGTGAGTTCTTGTTCTTGTTCAGCACCAGTCAGGGTATCAACAAGTCCTATGTTTTAACGTGTTTTGGAATGAGGGAGCTGAGGATGGGATGGTGCCACCGACCTTCCTCTCTCTCATTCCACAACGCCACACAGACGGTACCAAGCATGAGGCAGCATTCACACTGAACAACTAGTTATAAACAATTTGCACGTTTTGGAGTTTTACGCCATAAGTCTCAAGTTGTACTCATGCAACAAATCAAAACGCGTATCAAAATCACCTGCTGTTTTCACATGTATTTGTAAACAAACGTGGCGACTCCGACTCGTGTCATTAACTTGATATTGAAGTGTTTAAAATATCAACATTCAGAAACTTTGATGTGAGGCATCAACGCGTCGGCAAAATGTCTTTATAAAAGTTGCAAACCAATTAACTTTTCAAAAAAATATGAATATTTAAAACAAATGACTGCTGATCAAGATAATGGTGTGACTCCAGTTGACGTGGACAAAACGCTTCAATGAACATCTTCAAGACAAAAACAAGTGTATACTAAAACGTTAAAGTGCTAGGTCCCAAACTTTTCGGTCTTTTGCTAAAGCAGTTCAAGCATAACTATCCTTTATTGCAATACTCATCGTTAGTAAGTGAGTGAGTGAGTGAGTATAGTTTCACGTCACCTTTAGCAATATCCCAGTAATAACACTGGTGAGGACACCAGATATGAGCTTCACACATTGTACCGATGACGTGTCTGTAGTACCAATAAACCAAATGAGTGTCAATCCTATGAGATGTGTATCCTGATTCGTGGTTTGTCAACATAGAAGACAGTCATTAAATGACATTAAATTAGTGAAGCATTGTGTAATTTAAACCACATATTTAGTTATAATGTGTTCCCTTGCGTGAACATCTGGTAACTCTCAGCATAAAAAAAGTCAAAAACAAAAACAAACAATAAGCAGAATGATTTTAGGACCGGAAGCTCACATTTGATTTGCTCGAGAACTCAAACATATTTGAGACAGGCTCTTTATGTGACCATACTAATTATGTGAATGAGAGGCTAGAAAGTGATACATAGCTTTGCTAGTGTGTGTAAGGACATGAGGTACGGTGAAATGGGGTTTAACGTCGCGTCCGAAAGTATTGCCCTTATGTAACGACGTGCATGCATGTGTGTGTGTGTGGCTAGATACCATGTCACTGTTTGAAGGAATACCCCACACAGACGCAGTATACTCTGAACCAACCAGTCCTTGTTTTAGCCCCTTAAGGACATGAAGCTCCCCTGAAATCAAGGGATAATATTTCCGTAATAACAAAGAAAATGGGTAAAATGCATGCTGTTGAGAACATCTTTCTTGAATGCATCACATTCTGAAAACTACTTCTCATTATGAAAAACACACAAACACCAATTGTCACTGTGACACGTTTCAAAGAATATAATGTGTAAGAAGTTATGTTTCTCTGTCCAGGTTGGTGAAACAAACTGATTGTCACCATCATTGTCTACATCCTCTCTTTGACAAGCATGCAAATGAACCTGTTTCCTTTGTCAAGCAACTTAATTAGGTATGTGTGACTGTATATTGGCCATTAAACATTGACAAATCGCAGACATAAATTAGTATTGTTCATTATATGGTTGAAATCTGAGGGAAGCAAAAAATGTTAATTTTGTTCTGTTCTGCAATTTGCATGACTGCTTTTGAAGTTTTTGTTTATTTTTATTTTTTCATTCCCGTGATCAGAAGACCTTTCATCTGGATTGATCAAGGTGGCGAGAAGCTGGACCCTACTGCTGATGTTAACCCTTGGTAACCGACCTGAAAACAAGCTGGGAAAGCTCTTTCGACTACACGTGACGGAGAGGCGGACGTGTTAGGACCTACCAGACCTTCATTTCCAACGAGATCTCACGGTATGACCACGGCAGTCCACTGGAAGACAAGCTGGTGTGTTTGGTTCTGTTATAACTGGATCGCCATCAGGAAACAACCTGGGTACTTTGCCCTTCCAGACGTTTCACGGAAAACACACAAAACAAGATTGGGCGTATCAAGCCCCGGAGACAAGTTCAAAGCTCTTAGATCAACCAGATATGATTGGTGTACTAGGCCCGTATTCTTCATGGGGAGACAAGCTGATGTTCTAATGACAACCAGACATGAATTCTCCACAGGAAGAGAAGCGAGGTATGATTTGATGTACTGCACCAGTATTGTCAATGGGAAGACAAGATTGTTTGCTGGCATGTAGTAAACTCAAATTTCCCAGAGGCAAGCACGAGATACGAGTGATAAGATGATGAGCACTGCAGGCTTTATTATATCCTCATAGTTGAGTGACACAGCATGCACAAGGTTGTAAACATCAATACTGTGACAGTCTTACAGGTTCATTATCAACAAAACCTACAATAGTTACATTTAGGACACAAATATTTCCGTTCTCATCACTACCCACATACCTGGTAAGACCTGCAGGTAGCATATTGTTTTTTAATAATGGAGGTGAAACCCTGAAGCTGAACATTGACACATTTTATTCCGGTGGTATGCTCATCATCATCCTCATCATCATCACCATGTGCACTGAGCCAGTAGTTCGTCCGAAACGTCTTTCTGTCTCTATTGCGTGTCGCCATCTCTACAGTGACCACTGTAATCTGAAACTCAACAAACCCCCTGAAATTCACAACTCATAACATCGATGACACTCTCGGTCATAGGCGTAGATGGTGTACGTCAATATTTCATTCTACTTGATTGTTGAAATAAATCTTTGCATTCATAACCACAGGGATGGCATAAAAATTGTTGATGTAAAATCAATAAATGATGTTTATGACTTATAATAATTGATAACATTCAATATGACTGTCCTAAAACGTGTACAATCCCTCCCCTTTTACCTTGGATAGTGGATATGGATTCTAAACCTGAATCACCCCCACAATGATGCATAGTCCATCAGGCGCTATGGCATAATTTAAATACTTGGTACTGGATATAAATAATACAGTTCACAGTGGGGCATTGGGTTTACTGGTATGTCGAATTGAGTGTGCATAATATTCACGATTTAAACTCATGTTCCCAAATATGTTTTTATCTTTTCAGAAAATATAAACAAATGATGCTCTCTGAAATCATTCACACACACACACACTGAGGCAGTACTGACTCATATATTGACAAGCGTGGTAACTCACGTATTCAATGAGCCAATCATCTTTGTGACAGGGATCAGAAAAGGCAACACCAATTGTTTTCATCCCGCAGACAGAATCGGCAATAAACTGAAAGGATCGATTATACAAATACATACCATTATAGTTTTCTTTGAGTAATTAAACTAGTGTAGTAGGACATTCCACAGAAATCACAGTCGAATAAGGATGTGAATATGTTAATTACTTCATATGTTCAAGTGGATAAGTTCAATTCTTACAGGCAGTTTGAGATAACTGACAATGTTTATTGAAGTCATGTTCTTGGTGACCCACTTACAGTACTCCTTGTTATTATAAGGCAACGGTTGATGATGGTCCCTGCATGATTGTGGCTCATGGTCTGACCATATCACTCCCGGTCAACCCTCAGATAGCCAGCGGGGGGATGTGTGTTGATGTGCATCACCATGCTGGAATAATGTATGGCACTTACTGTTTGTCGGCCCACCCGATGACCCAACGCCGCTGACGCTGATACAATGGCTGGCATGAAGCAATTAACAGAGATGCAGACTTTGCAATTGTCAGTCATTGGAAGATAACCATTCCCGCTGATCTATGATTGCTTTCAGAAGTATATGTATATTTTGCCACCAATATGTATGCTTGATAAACACACTATAGTGCATGTACAGACAGTCTTCAGGTCACCTGGTTTACACATGTTATGCAGCCATACATAAAGCATGAATTTGACAGTTATTAAGTATTTTTGTGTGTGTGTGTGGTCGGGTGAAGTTTCTGCAATCATTTGCATTCTGTATTCACTATTCGATATTCAAATTAGTAATTCGATAACACGTTTATGTTTGTTTTTGTTTGATTCTGTGTGTGTTTTGCCGGTTTTACAGGATGTGAAGGCAATAGTCGCTTGTCTCTCAAAACAGGCATTTGACCATAGTTGTTTATTTCAAATAGCAATGTGTGAATGGATACGTTGGGCTTCATGACAGAGCATGAGCCTGTGCTGGTCGATTATCAGACACCACTCCCTGTTTTTTTAACAATGATCCAAGAGAGTGAAGAGTGTTTGTTTCTTGTGGCAGATAGACAAACATCCCACTCCCTGTATTTTGAACAATGATCTCAGACAGAGAAGAGTAAGTGTGGTTGTTTCTTGTCTCAGACAGACAAACATCCCACTCCCTGTATTTTGAACAATGATCCCAGACAGAGAAGAGTAAGTGTGGTGGTTTCATATCTCAGATAGACAAACATCCCACTCTCTGTATTTTGAACAATGATCCCAGACAGAGAGGAGTTCGTGCAGCTTGCTCGGTGCTGTAGTCATCAACGTGTACATTGTCGAATCATCGGTAGGGCAACATATTGTTCACTGCTTTGATTAACGAAGTCAGCGTACTTAATATTAAACCGGTGAGTTACGACTGCAGTGACTTACAACTACATTGTTACACATGTGTTTTGACAATGACAATGTGAATTTTGAACCTGTATATATTTGTGTCAGTGTTGCTCGTATAGTGTCAAGGGTGTGTATATAAAGTGAAACTATACGTTTTAACTCCAAACATGCTTGCAATTTGCTTCAGTCGCCTTTCAACGTATTGGTTAAATTCTTCAGTACATTCAGGCTACCCTAAGGGGTTTCAGTTTTCTTTTCTTAGTATGATGTCTTTCCCAGTTTGCATTTAGTTATAAACAGTAAACACGTACCTTTGATAGTTAGCATAAAACCAGCTTTAGAACCTGCATTTCGCGTCCAGTTGGGAAAACGTACATAACCTTGTGTTTTCCTTGGCGCCCTCAGCAACATTCCAGTTGGGAGCAGTTCTGCTACCTTGTGTGCATCAGCTACATTCCATTTAGAAACAGATAACTTACCTTGTGTGTGACTCAGCTACATTCCATTTAGAAACAGTTAACTTACCATGTGTGTGACTCAGCTACATTCCATTTAGAAACAGTTAACTTACCTTGTGTGTGACTCAGCTACATTCCATTTAGAAACAGTTAACTTACCATGTGTGTTCATCAGCTACATTCCATTTAGAAAGAGTTAACTTACCTTGTGTGTGCATCAGCTACATTCCATTTAGAAAGAGTTAACTTACCTTGTGTGTGCATCAGCTACATTCCATTTAGAAACTGTTAACTTATCTTGTGTGTGCATCAGCTACATTCCATTTAGAAACAGTTAACTTACCTTGTGTGTGCATCAGCTACATTCCATTTAGAAACAGTTAACTTACCTTGTGTGTGCTTCAGCTACATTCCATTTAGAAAGAGTTAACTTACCTTGTGTGTGCATCAGCTACATTCCATTTAGAAACTGTTAACTTACCTTGTGTGTGCATCAGCTACATTCCATTTAGAAACAGTTAACTTACCTTGTGTGTGCTTCAGCTACATTCCATTTAGAAACAGTTAATTTACCTTGTGTGTGCATAAGCTACATTCCATTTAGAAACAGTTAACTTACCTTGTGTGTGCATCAGCTACATTCCATTTAGAAACAGTTAACTTACCTTGTGTGTGCTTCAGCTACATTCCATTTAGAAACAGTTAATTTACCTTGTGTGTGCATCAGCTACATTCCACTTAGAAACAGTTAATTTACCTTATGTGTGCTTCGCCGTCTTTCAGCTACATTTCAGTCGGGAACAGTTTTGTTACCTTGTTTGTGCGTCTCCGTTCTTCAAGTGCATTCCAGTCGGACAAATTAGATTACCTTGAGTGTACCTGCGCGTCCTTTTCTTAGTCTGATGTCTATCCCATTTGTCAATTCCTTACTAACTTGTCCACACCATCCTTCGAGGGTTAACACCAAATCTGCTTTCGAACCAGCATTTCTTTCCCGTCCAGTCTTTATGTACACACTGTACTTTGCTTTTTGCTCTATGTTTTAGAAAAGACATAGGGTTCAACTACCAATGGCGTAAATCTTTTCGATCAGTTTTGGAATACTCCCATACTCTACCAGTATTTCCCCGTTTTTCCCCCGTAATTATTAAGCATACATATGAAATTCTCGGTCATCGAAGTGTCACGTTAAAGCATGTGCCAAGTGAGAATACTGTCTGATAAATAGAACTTACCCACACGTTTCAATGAAACTGTTAACTCAAATCAACAATTTACTGATTAGGATTTTAACCTAAAATATTTTTGTTATATTTACTTAATTATATGACGATGCTCTACCACCATGGACACATATCAGAGGGCATGACATTCAGTATGTTTCTATCTTTGAGCGTAGCAAGTGTTTGCGTGTCTACTTTCTTCTCAGACATGTGTCTCTTGTGGATGAGATGTTGTTTATCATACACCAGTATGTATGGATAATGTGCATGTTTGATATGTATTTCCCATCCGCTAAAATATCACATCATTGGTATCAAACAGTATACTTACTTTCGCATCTCTTCTTGCACGTGTGTTTGTACCCCAGGCTTCCAACGCTCGTACCTGCTGTTCCATCGTCCTCCCCACCGTCACAACCTTCAAATGAATTTAGTGTGAACGATTAATAGAACAGCATGACATCCCCAGTAGTATGCATGTGTCGTAAGAATAGATTTTCAGATGTGGTGGTCTAGTTCGGTGCCACTGCTGATTGCATGTTAATGTACTACCCTTTAGCAGGACACTCCTGAAAACATCAACCTCTGGTTTGTCTGGCCCGCACTCAGTGTTGTCACAGGCCGTCACGACACAGTCGGAATATTGCTGACTTTCAGGTAACATTACATTCTATCACATATGAGGAGCAAAGTAAAGTGCATCATGAGTGAGTGAGTGAGTGAGTATGGCTTTACGCCGCTTGTAGCAATATTCCAGCAGTATCACGGCGGGGAACACCAGAAATGGGCTCCACACATTGTACCCGTGTCGGGAATCGAACCCGGGTCTTCGGCGTGACGAGCGAACGCTTTAACCACAAGGCTACCCGAGCGCCCAAGTGAATCATGAAAGGTAGGAACTTGAAATATATACATTAGTTTATAAACAGTCAAGTTGTTCTCATTATACACGGGGGCACGGGTGGCCCAGTCGTCTAAGGCGCCGCGATTCGCTGTGCAGAGTTGCGTCTCTTTGGCACGCAAGAAACATATGATTATGGGTTCGAATCCCGGTTCGCCACGTTTATGTTTCTAGGTTTGTCAGCATCATACCAGTGCTCATGGGTTTCACCAGTGCCAGTGGTAAACGTCTGAGACCTGCATCACTTCGTGCTCTCCTCCCACCTTAAGCTGACACGCCGCGATATAACTGGAATACTGTTAAAAGCGGCGTTAAACCCAACTCACTCACTCACTCACTCACTCACTCACTCACTCATTATGCACTCAACTTTATTAAGTAGATGTGTGAGTACTCCTTTCGTTTCAGATACTCCAACAATCCATGACACAAACAAACCATTAATTTTGACCAGCAATTAGTGTAACCATTTGTCTGCCAAGTTAATAACTGCAAGAATGATGGCCTCTTCTAATTGACTCGTCACATATGATGGCTATATGGAACTTATGTAGGTTCGCCCCGATTATGTTTCTATGTTTGTCAGCATCATACCCTTGTTCGTGTGTTTAACCAAAGTGGTAAACGTCTGAGACCTGCATCAATTCAAGCTTTCCTTTCACATTAAGCTGACACGCCGTGATATAACTGGAATAAGGTGAAAGGCGTAGGCCAACATAATTATACTATCACACTTTTAATGACGATTAAAGCTTTTTATAACTATCCTGAACTGCTCATTTCCTGAAGTGTTGACATTCCCCTATTCCCCTATCTACTTACGATTTTCCTCGTAACCATCGCATCGTTTGTTGTGGCTGGTGTACACAAAATACAAACAGCTGCTATTTCTGTAACAGGTCACGGCACATGACACCAAGTTGCTGTCAAGAACGGAGTATGATGGTTCTGTTTGTTCATCGTTAACACCATGTTTTCTGCATTTATAGGCCATTTGATCAACACTGCTGTGAACGTACACTGTCCAAAAGACGCAGATGCGCCAAATACCCCCAACACCGAGGAGCGTCATCTCACACAGGATAGAAAATACAAGTGTGAGAAACAATCATGATCCGTGCAAACGAGAAACATTGAGAATTAATACTTTTCCTCACACAATCGATTCTATAAATGTCACTTGCTAATTAATTTACAAAGGTGTTCTTTTTTGGTTTTAAGAGTTTTGCTTAAGATATTTTTGCTTAAGATGAATGGATAGAATGTTTCTTGCTTTGTTTTTGTTTAACATGGCTTGATAAAGGTGAATTGATGAACTTATTATTTTTCTTAATACAAATTGGCATTTGTTTATTGAAAAGCGGGGTGTAGCCAATTCGTCTTAACCGAGTTGTGTCCCATGGGTTTTTATCTTGGTTCGCCCCTTTTATGTTTTTAGGTGTCTCAGCACCATGCCCATGCTCTGTGTTTAACCAAAGACGTAAATGTCTGAGACCTGTATTGCCTCGGGCCTTTCTCCCACATAAAGCTGACACATTGTGATAGAATTGGAATACTGTTCAGAGCAGCGTTAAACACCATCACTCACTGTTTCTCTATAAAATCCCCGTTTGGACCCGGGGAAGAATGTGTCCCCAGCACCCCATTGATGGTCGTAATAGGCGACGGAATTTGGAAACCCATTTTGCCCTGGGTAGCAACTCCCGTGTCGGCGGAGGACGGGAGGCCTCAGTAAAGCGTTCAACAGTAGAAGTGTTTTGTGGTAGACATATCTGAGGACATTTCCAAATTTGACGAATTAGTGATACAAATGATGTCCGATGCAATTCAATATTTTGACTTGTGTGTGTTTTTTTTTTCACGTGAACAATTGACTTGCCTTTGCATGTGTTTGTGATGGTGCCACCGATGAGGCAGGATACACTCACCTTTTCGCGAACACCTGGTATCATCACTAGTCCGTCCATAGGACCCGTGAAGATTCAGGGTGGAACAGGCCTTCAGCAACCCATGCTTGCCGTAAAAGCAGACTATGCTTGTCATAAAAGGCGATACAAAGGATCTTGTGGTCAGGCTCGCTGACTTGGTTGATGCATGCCATTGATCTCAATTGCGTGAAAAGATGTTCATGATATCAGTCAGTGGATTGTCTGTTCCAGACTCGATTATTTATAGACCGCCGTCATATAGGTTGAATATTGCTGGGTGCTGCGTTAAACAACTAACCAACCAACCAAATTCTAATTGTTGCTATCCTCAGAGACAAATACTGTGCACTCTGGTAATAACGGGCAACGATTCTGTTACAATACATCCACACAGGGTTTTGAAGCATCCAGTTAAAGGGAAAACTATGCTTTCAGGGAAAGTGCTGACGTTCCACATTTGAGATGATCGGGCAAATGTGCTAAAAGAATTAATATGAGCTTGATCTTCAACACACGCATACGTATGTTCAACCATAGTTCAAACTTTGAACACATGTTAATTTTGTTGTTTTCGTTTTGCATTTTAGGCTGCACTGACTGTTGTTGGCAATGCGGACTTCATCAACCAACTCACCGAGCCGTTCGAGGGGCTCTTTGTACCAGCATACATGTGTGTGTTTGGGTGTGGGGGTGGGGGTGGGGGTGTGGGAGGGTGGGGTGGGTGGGGGGGGGGGGGGGTGGATATTAGTTGGAGATACTTCATGACAGCTCGGAGAACAATTAATTGTTAATTGTTTTTCAACATATACAATTTAGTCACATCAGTGACTGTTTAATAGGTTGTGTGTGCATTATGTTTAAAAACAGCATGTGAGGTCGGACAGTAAGGGTGTTACACACATACTCAGAACACCAATTCAGATCACCTTAGTCAGGAAGAAATCAAGGGTCACTTCTACGCTTCCTAGGCAGGGTCAGAAATGTCAGACAACCTGGTACTACAGCAGATTCTGTAGATAGCATATGACATTTATGTATTTGTACAAGTTTTAAACTAGGCATAACAGCCAGCTGCATCTTAATTGCATGTATTGACCATCATCATACACTCGATATCATAATTCATCTTGTGGAAAACATCACATGCGCCCACAAAAGCAAACTGTCATGCTTGTGCACAGATTTAAAAAAAGCTTTGCGTAGATCCAAATTCAGGGTGTGCTGTAAACTAAATACTGTCCAAAGGGAACAGACATCCACATACACATGTGATCACTTGCCCTGTTACAGAGATGCTGTATGATTATGTAAATCAAATAATTGTGAGTGTTGTCACAGCAACATTGTCAAACCACTTCCCCATTGCCAAGTTTTTTACCCGTGAATATCCAGGTTACAGCAACCCATGCGTGTCATAAGAGGCGACTCACGGGACAGGATGATCAGGTTCTCTGACTTGGTTGACACGTATTCCACTTAGGTAGACAGATGCTCAATCAATGGATTGCCTGGCGCAGACTCGATTATTTATAGACCACCCTCACATAACTAGAATAGTATTGTGTTATTGTCAAATGGACACGAATCACCCTGCTTGCGGTCAATGGGCACAAATAACACGCATGTTGATGAATGTTTAAGGCATATGACCTCTGATCAAGGTAATAGGGCGACGCCTATAGGCGTGAACATGACACTTCATTTGCCTTCACTTTGGAATAAATAGGCGCACATACCAGGAATACCAGGTATAACAGAAATAAGTACCTTCACGTTGGTCTCGTCTTACACAAAGTGTTTCCTTTGTCTTGTTGAGTCTCAACTATAGCAGTTCAAGGCAGACATAGACATTATTATACTGACAATAGGGGTAGAGCACACGTTTCCAATATATACTCAACAACAAAAGTTCCTGACACCAATATTTTAGTGTATTTTTCAGTTTTGTTTTCATTATTGAAGTACATGTGTGGAATCAAATCACAAAAACGCATTCAATGCAGAAATTGACTTTTATGCAAGCCCCATGCATTTTACTAAAAAAGAACGTGTATAAAAACGTGCGTTAACGGGATTCCATATGCATTGTTTAGCATCATGCTGACAATCACTCAAAAAGCAAGAAATTACGCAATTATTCAACATTACGAAATGCCACGCCTGTCCGAAAATGAGCGTCTGCAAGCCATTGGTATGTTTGAAGCAGGATCGAGTCAACGTGATGTTGCAAGACAATATAACGTCAACAGAAACACAATTTGGTGTTTATGGTAACGTTGGCAACAGACGAATGTAGTCAGAGACCATCCTCGGAGTGGCAGGCCACGCATAACCAATAATTGACAAGACAATGGATTCGAACAACACACCTACGAAATCGATTCCAGGCAGCAACAGTGACTGCAAGAAGCATCCCTGGTCTTTGACGAATATCTTCACAAATCTTACGTCGCCGCCTCAGATGTGCAGGGATTGTCGCCAGAAGACCCACCAGACGTCCCATTTTGACAGGAAACCACCGTCAGGCACGTCTACAGTGGCGCAGACAGCGTCTACGCTATTCACCGACGAGTCTCGTTTTCACCTCAG